TGATATATATTTTGCTGGATATATTCGAGTGTTGAATCAGAAAAACTTGTTTTCTTGTTTTTTACTGATTTTGTTGAAGCTTATGATTATTTAATTTGTTGGCAGTGGGTTCGTTTCAATAAGTAGTTATAAAATGGAGCAAGCGATTCCTGCTTGCAATTGAGGAAATCAGATAATAAGAATGGGGAATTATTAACAAATATTCATAAAGTTGTTTTTGATTTTATTTTTTAAAATCATTTGTTTTTATCTATGCTTGTTCTTTTATAAGCAAATTTCATTCAAGCTCATCTTGTTTATTTAGCAAAATCTTTCACTAATCATCCATCAACCAGCCTGCATCCGTTATGTACAGAAACCATTCTGTTAGTTTAACAAATTGAATCAAAAATTTGTTGCTGGTTTTTGCGGTACTTTAAATATTCTTACAATATTTCCAGCGTTTTTGAAATTGATAATTTTTGAGAACTAATTTTATTAACAATGACTGGCCCCGTGTTACTTATAACGGATGTTGGGGTGTTCTAGAAATAAATGTTAAATAATGGAACAAAAATCAGCAACATCATCATCATTATATTAATAACAGCACAATTTCTACAACCACATCACAACAACAATGTAACAACACAAAAATAACAACAAAGTTAAGTCGATGTATGACAAATTGAGCTTCTGAGCTCCCCAGAGATATATGCTGACCTATACAACCTTAATAACCCAACAAATCAGTTCTGCAAAATGATTTGTTCACCGTTTCCTTACGATGAAATTCTCTGATGACTATTTTTTCTATAATAAAAGAATATTCAAAATATCTAGAACATTGGGAGTTTTTTTAAACTTCATTCAATAAACTAATGTAATGATTCTCTTTGAAGTAAAATTTTAGTAATTTACGACCATCAATCACACTTTTTCTACTTTTTGCTTTTTTGAAAAACAACCAAATTTATCCATTTTGAAAAAATTATGTATGGAAACCATGGAATTATTTGAAAAAATGGATTAATATCTTGTTTTAATGAAAAATATTTTAGAGGAATAAGGATGACCCAATGGCAGACGGAAATCATCAACGGAAATTGGGTAATCTTAACAAAGGGTCTCAATTTTTAAAAATCGTCAACAAATTCATACTTTTAGAAACTTTAATGAAATTTCTTCTGCAATAACTATTCTAGCACGATGCAATCTATAAAACAACATAAATTGTCAACAAATATTTTATTCTATCTCAATGAAATGTAACCGTTTGATGAGAAAATAGTATATAAAATTCTTATGTTTGTGCACAGCAGCAACCACAGTAGCTTTGCAAACAAGTTCTTAACGTTGCAATTGTAATATTGAAAAACTAATGTTAGTGTGATAACGAGGCTAATATTGTCTTGTTTAAAAACAGTTAAATTTGCATAAAAATAATGCAACTTGTAATTGAGTTTTTGATTCACATGAATCATTGTGTGAGGTAAAATGCTTCTAAAAAAAAGTAATCAGTGACAATGAGGGAACGAGAGAGGTTAGGGAATGTCTTATTGGGAATGGGAGGAAAACTTGAATTCACCACTGAAAAACAGGGTAAATGGGGAAAATGGAAACCGTTAATTGGAATAGAAAGGAATTGGGGCCAATTTGCCACTCCAGTCACCGTGAACTGTAGCTGAAACTTCCTTTAGCAGCCAAAATGTAGTCATGTCCGTGCGCCTATGCATGTTCGTCTGCCTGTATAACTCTTCGTTGTTTTCGTGTTCATGTTGCTTTGTGTTTATTTACATTCTAAATTTCGGTGAGTAGTGTACGTGAGTTTCTAATTCGAGTATAAATGGTAAGTAATGTTCAATGAATGTTGAACAATCGCTCCACTGACTTCTCTTAATTACATTGTACGTGACATTTATTTCATGTCTATTATTTCGTTTTATAAAGATTTTACAAAATTAAAATTTTTTTCCAATTGTTTTTGCGATGTAATTATCCAAAAACAAGCATAGATCTCATAGAAAATTTTCTTACTACTACTTAAACTTTCTATATTGAAGATTTAATGTATTAAACTTTCTGCGGAGAGGCTCACCCGAACAAATATGAAGAGTAGATGAAAAATTCTCCTGAAATATCATGCACTTTTGTTACTCAGTGTTTGCTTTCTTAATGAGCAAGAAAGAGAACAGCAACACAGGCGGAAACGTGGAAAGAGACGGACGGCGATGCTGGCGCCAACGTGCATAATGTGAATATTTAAGTAAATACAACTCTAGGGCAGATATAAATGTGTAAATAAAATGATCATTGGATGCGTTTCTCTATTACATTACACACACACACAAATTACGCGCGCACACACACACACTACTTGTTTACAAAATATTTATCTTTTATTAGGAAGGCACTATTTTGAAGAGTTTGTTCTGTAGTTTACTGGGATGGATCGGTGTAATTATCGCTGCTAGCATTAAGTGTGTCTAACATTGAGAGCTTATTATGCTTCAGCGTCATGCTCGATTGAAAGTCAATCAATGAAAGCAATTTAAAAAAGCATTAAAAGCCGTTCAAATTAACAACTCTCACCTAAAATTTAACTTTAAGAAAGAAAGAATAATAATATTACTAATAATAATAGTAATAACAATAATATTATTATTATTGATGTTGTTGTTTTTAATATTAATATTTGCCATAAACGTGCCAAAGTTTTCAGCGTGTTGAGCGGTGGCAGGCAGAATGTAGGCAGGTGGGCAGAGTACTTGCTGGCTGGTTGCTTCCACATCTTGCCTGTTCATGAACATTTTCAATGTATGACTATGAAGACATTTCGTACAATTAAAATAGAAGTTTAAACTTTTATGTGAATTGTCTGCTGCTGTTTTCAAATTTTCCGAAGGTAATACTTAAAATTGTATAAGCATAAAAATATAAGTTTTTGTAAGTAAGAGATGATGTAAGCGTTTTCTATACAAAAAGTTAACGGGTGAGTTTTAATAGATCGAAAGTTGATGTGGTCGGATTATGGGTCATAAATGAGTGTGCATGAAGATGAGGAGTGATGGATGGATGGATGGATGGATGGATGGATGGATGGATGGATGGATGGATGGATGGATGGATGGATGGATGGATGGATGGATGGATGGATGGATGGATGGAAGGATGGATGGATGGATGGATGGATGGATGGATGGATGGATGGAAGGAGGGAGGAAGGATACAAGTGCATAAGAGATGTTTAGCATCATCATTTATTTATTAATTCATTCATTCATTCTTTTATCCATTCATTTATCCATTTATTTATTTACTCATTTTTCCATCTGTCATTCATTCATTTATTCATTTATCCATTCTTCCATTTATTCATTCATTCATCTATTTATTCATTCATTTGTTCGTTCATACATTCATCCATTCATTTGTTTATTTATAATCTGTCTTACATGATGTTGCCGACATAACATAAGTCATTAAAAGAAAGTATAAAATGAAAACAATCTACAAAGGATTGCGATTGGAATGAAAAAAAGTCATTTTGAAATAGTTAAAAAAGCTAACGCTTTGATGATAAATCAACCTTTTATTTGATGGTTAATGTTAATAATTGATAGTTTCAACCAAAACAAATTTAATTGACGTGATTGATTGGAGACTTTCTCTGAATAAAAACCTTTGCACATAGATGATCATGTGATTAGTACAGGTATCAACAACCATGTATCCATATATATCCATATATGTATATGTATATCTACGTAGTTATATGTATCAAAGTTTGCAAACAAATGCGTAATATGGGATTGGAAGAGAGTGGATGAGTTTACTTCAATTGCATTCTCGGTCGGGATATTGACCGCAAAATGGTTTAATTATAGAGTAAATAATTCAATGAATTTCAATGGTCTTTTTATAAAAGTTTGTCGTAAAAATTGAAATGGTTTCTATGAACAATCTAAGAAGAACATTCGGGTGTTGTGGTTGGTGTTGTGTAAATTTGAGTTATTAGTCATTTGTTTCATGTGTTGAACTTATTGAATTAACACAAACTCATCAGTTATAATGAATGTTTAACGAAAACACCATTGGAAATATTTGGTAATATGCTGCTCTATTGAGTCTCCATGACCCCCCACAGCAGCAACTCGTTCCCCACTCACTCCTCACCAATGATTCTGTAGTTGCTAGAGGTTCAATGCCTAAGCATGGATGCGTGTTCGTGGAAAAATCAATTATGCAGGTACAAGCTTCCAAATGTTTTCAAATGAAACTCATGTACGACCTTTTCGAAATTTTGCGATTTCAGATCGACTTGCTTAAAAAGCCGATTTGACGCCATTAATTTATTTTATAAAATGTACAGGTTCAATTTGAAATTATGTGTTTAGAATGTAGAGGAAGAATAAAACATTGATAGATACTTAAAATGTGGGTTGAATGACTGAAAGAAATTTTTATTTAGAGTTGTTTTCCCAAACTTACCAAACAGATTCGCAATTATTACTACTCTTCTTATGTGGATGGGTCACTTCAGGTGTTCCATCTTTGGAATTGTGTAAATTTTAACCATGTTTTTAACGTTGTTAATTTTATGAGTTTTCATGGCGTTGAGTGCACTGATGAAAAAGATAGACCATCACGAGTGGAGAGGATGTCTGTTGGTGGTGTTGGTGGTCAGGGAGAACCAATAAAGCAGCATGTTGCAGAATATTTCCATTGGTGTTTTCATTTAACATTCACTATACACATTCATTATGACGGATGAGTTTGTGTTAGTTCAAAAAATTCGCCACGTGAAACGTATATGATTAATAACTCAAACTCACACAACGCCAACCACATCATCCTAATGTCCTTCTTAGATTTTTTTACAAAATCATTTGTAATATTAATATGCAAATTAATAAACATAAATTTTAATTTAAAAATTTATTAATATTTCATTAACAAAAAACAACACAGCACTTATAAAAATGCAACAACATCAAATGAAACTTGTTATTCACCCGAAGGTACCGTGAGAGGCGTTCGAACAAGCAAGCCTGTTTGTATGTGGGAGCCATCTGGATGATTGCCGTCGTCACGTGCGCACCTCCCCTCTTCGGCTGGAACGACCTCTCAAAGAACTACGTGAAACAACCGCTGAACTTGAACGACGATGACGTGAAACACAAATCTGAAAATATTTTCCTAGACATGAAAGTGAATTACAGCTTATTGAATGCGGGTCTGCAGAACATCACTGAAATATTGTTTGCACGAGATAGCAGGGGTCAGGTCGAACATTTAATGGTGAACCCAATAAACGGCTCTTTCGATTTCACTGGCAACAGCCTGGACAATTTGACTGGCCACATATACGTCTGCCTTCTCTTCGACACACCCAGTTACGTCATCTATTCTGCTTGCGTCAGTTTCTACATCCCCTTCCTGCTCACTGTTTTGTTGTACGTTCAAATCTTCATTGTCCTCAGAAAACGTTTGAAATTAATAAGAGAGAAGAACTCCAAACGCAAGGCGGTGACGGCCAGCGGTAGCAACAAAAATAACTACTTCGCCAGCGGACAGGAGTGTGGCGCAAAGTCATGTAACGAAAACAACAAGCTGCACAATCACAACGCTGAACAGAATGTAAAAATTAATAACATTTCTAAATTTAAAGTTGAGACCGTGTTAGCATCATCGTCAACTGATGACCAGGCAGCGGACGATGTGAATGATGAAATGTCCAAACCTAATCAACAGCAACATTTTTCTCAACGACGTATTCAGCAACAACAACCCTCTCAACATCATGTTCATGTTCAACCGCAGCATGATGTTGTTGACATCGTTCAACCAGAAGTTGAACGATGTCAACAACAACAACAACAGTTTCATTTTACATTCCTTCAAAGCGATGCACCAAAAAACGAGCCAATTGTTGCTACACCAGCCAACATTCTCAGCAAGGAGAAATTAAAATTGTTGCCGCTGACTGAAATGAACGACGTTGTACCTCGCGAGAACGATGCACGAGAGCAACAAACATTTTTGTTGGAAGCACCAACAACTAAGATCCAGACGTTGAATGATTGTCGCCTGAGCAACAACAATCCAAGCAGCACCAGCAACCTATCAATTCTCAGTTTAAACAGCGATACAAACAAACCGCTTGACAACACAAAAAATAATAATAACAATAACGTTGAAAATAACAATGGTGGTTATAATCAAAATAAGAACACCGGCGGCAACAACCCTACAACAATTTCCACGTTACCAACTGACAACCTGCAGCTGCCGGACCCCCAGAACAGGAAGGTCGGCATGATGGCCTGGGTCCAGCGAAGACCCACCAAATTAAATCTCACTGGTGCCCCGAAAGTCATTTCAAACATCAGAATCGACAAAAGACAGAGAGCCGACAAGAGAGAGATTCGAGCGACAATTCGAATGGCAGTGGTCATCGCGGCATTCTGCACCATGTGGATTGGCTTCTTCACGTTGTACCTGATCGAAGGAGTCTGCAAAGCATGCATTGTGCCGAAGACTGTTGGAGCGTTTGTCTTCTGGCTAGGCTACACGAATTCTGCCATCAATCCTATTCTCTACGCTATTTTCAACGTGGAATTCAGAAAAGCGTTTAAGAAGGTGTTGGGAATAAAGGACAAGAGGAAAAGAAGAAGATGACCAGTTTGTCGGGCGCCGATTGTTTTTTTTGGAGGGAATGAATATTCAATGTTTAAAGTTAACTTCTGTGCAATGACTTTAAATGGTTTCATTTTTTTGACAATTTCTGATGAAAGTTTTAGTAATGAATTTGTCAATTTTTAAAAATTACTTCCAACAATGATGTGACAATAAGTATCAAAAAACAATCAAGTGGTATTATTAAACTTTAATTATAGTCAAACAATTTAAGATTATTCATCCACATTCACTCCAAAATAATAAGTTGAACATCAGATTAAATCTCAAAAAGTCAATTTGTGGCATTGATGTTTTTCAGCTGTGTTAAAATTAATTAAACTGCGCGCGTACATTCATTTGTTTTTCAACAAGTTCAACGGGGCGTACAACACATGCCACGTCCACAAAATGTTACTTTTACAACAAACCTTGCAAGCATTAATTATTTCAATTCCATGATTTTAGAAATTATTCAGTTGAGTTGCAGCGCTAATAAAATATGTTTATTGTAGACCTGTCTGCTTACGAAATTGCAAACAAAGCGAGCGTACAAGTGCGACAGCTTCTCATCATTCTGCGAACATTCACACGCACCACCGTCATCATCATCTCCTTTCTGTAATATCAACACGGCTTCAGGTATGCAACAAACAGTCACTGGTTACATCAATTATTTAAATGGAATTAAAAAGTGCACGTACATAAAATATGCAAGTGAACCGTTATTTATTTTAAATGTTGCATTATGCATACGCACTTTAACACGGTCGGCCACACACATGTGATATTTTGTCAAAGTCAGTTAAGTATTTGTGCGAATCGTTTGAACAGTTTTTTGAAATGTAAAAAGGATGAACAAAAACGTTCGGTAGTCAGAGCGTGGATGTCATTCATGCGGAATAATTATTGATCCCCGCTGTCTCCATTCCTACTTGCGTTTTTGTCCGACCATTCTAACAATAGTTAGTAGCGCAAAAATATTTTTCATTACTTGCCATTGTTACGCTGCGATCCCACACACGTTCAAACTCACTCATGAATGCTTCGCCACACACGCACACAAACACACAAATACACACGTTTTTGTTATCTATATATTTAAGTATTGTACATACATGGGCGCGTATATATATATATATATGTATATATATATGTATATATATATATATATATGTATATATATATATATATATATATGGTGGGTACGCTAACTGTGTTGTATATATTATACACTTTATAGTTATCTTTACAATAAATATGCACGTTGGCGCATATGTGTGTGTGATGTGTGTGTGAGTGACGGAATGGGAGTGAGAGAGAGAGAGAGAGAGAGAGAGAGAGAGAGGATGTGTATATAACTTTTATAATTGTTTTCAAACTGACCGTTTTTGCTTACAAGACCAAAAAACATTGATGTCTACATCAGCTGACTAATTAATTAAACACGTTTTTATTTTTCGTTTGTTTATTGAATGTATCTTCTTGAAATGCTGTGTTATATTTTTAATGGTTTCATTGTTCGATGTTCCAATGAAGTAACAAGTGCAACATGTTGGTGTTATTTTCTGAAATTTTCTGTTCCCAGCAGAGCTGAAAAAGTCGAAAGTATCTGGCCAAAATTGGAGAGGTAGTTATCAAGGTTGCAAGTGCTGTTATCACCTAACCCTAACTTCAACCATAAAATTAAGATTAATCATAATTACAAGCCAACCAATGTCGATCCTAGATTTGCAAGAATTGAACATCGAGGTAATAAATTGAAATTTTTTGTTCACAAAGAGGGCCACCACATCCGAGCTGGAGTGAAAAAAAAGATGGAACATCTAGTTTAAATGCTCCTACACTCTCCATCAGATGGCGATTTTTGTCAGGGTATATGTATTATATATATGTCACATTATATACAAAATTAAATTTAGGTACCACGAAACCCTCCTACAAATTATATAAAATAGGTTAATGGCGTCAAATCGGCTTTTTAAGCAAGTCGATCTGAAATCGCAAAATTTCGAAAAGGTCATATATGAGTTTCATTTGAAAAAATTTGGAAGCTTGTACCTGCATAATTGATTTTTCCACGAACACGCATCCATGCTTACATGAATGACGACATCTTCACACAATCACAAACTCACTTGCATGTTGTGGCCATGATGCAGATTTGCGAAATGGAAAACTTCCAGTGAATGACTGTGAATGACTTGCCAGTTTTTATGGTGTGTCGGTTAAGGTTGAATAAATCCTATTCTAGGTTTCTACGCATAATTATAAAAAAAGTGTTGATAGAGAGTACGAATTGTTTTTATACAATGTGACCAATGTGTATTAAACATCGAGATTGCTCGTGCAACAGCCATGAAACGTTCCCTAACAAAATGCACTCGGTCTGACCACGCACTCCCATGTTAACGGAAGATTGCCGAATGTTATAAATATTTAATCGCGCTCACATACACTTGTGTGACTTGAATGCACTGACATACAATCACAGTGATCCATGTGTGCTTCCCAATCTGCTGCGGGAACGTGTGTGCGCTATTTATTCAGATCCATCAGATCGTGATCGTCCGCTTCTGCGGCGTGTGTCTGCAAACGTATTGAAAACAAAAACATTGGCATGCAATTAATGGCGGCAAGAATAATGCAAACAAGGAAGGATGAACGCAGATCGTGGCATCATAGATGACCAATAAAAGCAACATAACACCACCTTACTGCTGCTTCTTTCACGTTCATTTGGTTTGCTTGTTTATTTGGTTCGTTTGTTCGTCGTTCGTTCGTTCGTTCGTGCAGAACACATCTGCAATAATGTGGGACCTGTCAGAAAACTTCATTAACGCTCGCAGCGTCACTGTCGTAATGCCAGGGAGCTTGCTGGAAAACACGAATAATTGCGAAGCGAAACGTAAAAATGTACACCATTCAATGGAACAAAGTATGGAAAGCTACGTTGAACTATTTTTAACAAACTAATAATTTTTAATGTTATTATGTGCCAGCTGAGACATGATGGAACTTAAAAAATAATTGACACTAACATAGAAAGGAAGCTGACGCAGTGAATGGAAGCCGAAAGTTGCACGCGAGTATTCATACATTTCCTGCGACGTGCCGATTGACATTGATTATCATTGTACAACATTGTTCGCGCAGGATTTTTATTGCAGTGTCATTGCAAAGATATTATTGCCTCCAAAATAAAACATTCTTCTGGAAATATATGATAATCCAAAAACGAAACATAACTTTTATACAGAAAATAAATTTGTAACACTACATAAAAAATAAAACATAATACTATGAACATTATGTGAGAAATGTGGCTCTGTGAGAAAATGCATTGTAGGCAGAACGTTGTCGTCCTCGCGACCAATCGGCAGCAGTGTTGAATGTTTCAGACGGTGAATGAATTGACGGCATTTTTGGTTTTAACTTCTTATTGCGTATGATTATATTTCCCTTACAGTCCTCAACTTCTTTCAGTTCAGTTTGCAAACAAAAATGTTGCAGTATCTCATACTCTGTGGAAAAAATGCTGTTCAGTTCCTCTCGTAAATTTTAAAGTTCTTAAAAGTAATTTAAAACAACATTCTGTCATTGTTTGTTAAAAATATTATTTAAAATTGCAGTAATTAGCAGTGTATAACTGAAAAGTTTCAACCAACCATCTCCCATGGCAAAAGTTTTTTGTCAATTAATTTTTAAAAGTTTAAGAGCTATTGCTATATTTAGTTGCAAGAATTTTACTGAGAATTTAAATTTTTTCATTTAAAATATCATAAAACAAAACAATTTATTTTTTCATTCTTCTCACTTTTTTGATTGTAAATAAAAAACTTTTAAATAATTATTTCCTTTTTTTCAACTTTTATTTCAATCAATTATTTTTTGGACAAATCAAAATTTTAATCGGAAAGCAGTCTGTCTTTTATTTATATTTTTGTTGCTAATGATATTTAAAAAAAAGTGCAACTCGATACTAGAGCTAAGACATTCAGGAGGTGAAGCCAGTGTGAACCAAAACCTAAACCTTTTATGACCAGGGAGATATGATGCTGCTGAAACCATCAAACAACACAACACAATTTATTTTGCATTCCAATATTGTTTTGTTGTCAATTTCACCAAACGCCCTATCATTCACTTATTAAATTTTCTTTTCATTTACATAATTGATGCATTTATATGAAATGATTTAGTCAATCATCAACGAATTTATCAAGGCACTTGTTATCTTGTTATAAAATAGTCCAAAGACAGTTACCAATTCAGAGTTCATCTGTGTATCCATGAATATATTAATTCATGCGCTAATTCATTCATTCATTCATTCATTCATTCATTCACTCATTCATTCACTCATCAATTCATTCGTTCATTTATTTCTTTAATCAACATTTATAACATCTATCTATTTACACATCCATTCATCTATCCATGCGCTCATGCATCCATCCATGTGCTCTTCTATCTATTCACCATTGCATCAATGCATCCATCCATGTGCTCTTCTATTTATTCACCATTGCATCAATGCATCCATCCATTAGTCCATTCATGCGTTTATCCATCTAGCCATCCATTCGTGAGCCCATTTATTCATCCATGCGTCAATCCATTTATGCAAGCATGCATCCATCTATCTATCCATGCATCAATTAATCTATCTGGTTCATTCATCCATTCATCCATCCATGTTTTTATCCATCCATCCATCCAGCCAACCAACTTTCCATCCACTCATGCGCCCATTCATCCAACAATCCAAGCATGCACCTATCAGCGCGTCCATCCATCTACTTATCTGCTTATCGAACAACTTAGTGACAGGCACATCTGCCCGGACAGTCACGTGTTCGCTGCTCCCACCAGCCACGGCAGCAGGCCTTTTCAATTGATTTTTCTTCTTCAAGGAATTCTTTCGAATTACGGAGCGGTTAGGAGGAGAATGGATTGTTCTAGTAACATTGGGCATTTGTTAGATCTGCTGCGTTAGGAATCATCTGCATTTGTTTTTGTTTTCTTCATTTTTTCAGTATTAATTATTTTTTTAGAAAAAAAAACTTGAAAAATGTTTTTTACGAATAAAGCACATCCGCAGATACTTTAAAATTTAAAATTAAGTAAAAATTATCTAGCTATTTATTTAATTTTATTTATTCAATATTATATTTGTTTATCCGTTCAATTCACTCCTAAAACCAGTTCTCAGAGGATAATTAAATAAACACAAAAAATTTGAATAAACATTGCACTACAGACAGATCATGACAATACAATTGTAACAAACCGCGCACACACACACACCACACACACACACAAACCAGCCCATGACACAAAAAAAAAGAAAAGAAAGGGATTAACACACACACACACACACAAATATATATAAATATATATATAATAATTCCTAATCCTAAAGATGTTTTCTTTGCAATTTCTGTATTATGTCCTTTCCAACTCGTGTTGCTGGAAACTACTACACCCAAAAAACTTGATAGATGTTACATTTGGTGTCAAAACGCCATTTAAATAAACTTCAATATTGTGTAGATTGTAACAATTTTGGACCAAATAATAAGCATTTCGTCTTTGAAGTGTTAACGCTTAAACCATTTAAAAACATCCACAAAGAAACAGTTTCTAACTCCGCATTTTGTAGATCAACCCAATTAGCTAATGATTTTTCAGTAAATAAAATTGTCGTGTCACCTGCGTATGAGATAAACTTTAACATGTTAGATGAAGCAGTTTGATCGTTAATGGGCAAATTAAACAATAAGAGTCCCAGGATTGATCCTTGCGTTACTCCGTTTGCGACTGATGACAGTGAGGACCTGCAACCACCCAGTGAGGCATATTGTGTTCTTCCAAGCAGATGACTTGAGAACCAGTCGCATAAAACACCCCTAACGCCTGCACTGTACAGTTTATATAATAATAAGTCGAAAACACCTGTAGCAAAAGCACCAGAGTTGATATTTTCCACAACCACTTGACATAAATTTAAATCTGCTAATTCAGTTGAGCTATCTTTGCGAAAACCAAGTTGATTTTGACAAATTATATAATTATCGTTGAAAAAAATTGTTTAACGTGTATGGACAAAGTTTTCAATAATTTTAGAAAGAGTGGATACTAAGGAGATCGGTCGGTAGTTTGATAAATTATATATATATATGTGTGTGTGTGTGTGTGTGTGTGTGAGTGTGTGTGTGTGTGTGTTTGTGTGTGTACAAATAAAAAAAACGTAATATTGTATCAATATATTCAAATATATTCATAAAAGTTTATAAGTTTATGTAAGTCAAATCGTGGAAATGTATATAAAAAAAACGAAACAGGCAAGCTTTGAGCGGCAGAACAGAACATCTGTGAAAGCAAGCATTGAGCAAACAACATCCCGCAAGAATTCATATGTAAGGAATTGTTGTAAATCAAGCATACCAATACAACCTCGCTACAATGTGATGAAAAACATATCGAAATCAACGAAAATGTCACAAAAAATTCCGCTTTAGTCCTCTCTTTCTAATAAAGTGAACATCAAGAGCGGCGTGCTTCTGAAAACTGCAGAAATTTACTGCACCGAAACGTTCCAGCCGACACAATGTGTGAAATTGAATTTAACGAACATCGTAATTCACGCAATGAAGCAGGCACATTAATGAGAAATAAGAGCTGACGCAGGGCGAAACGTGGAGAGAGATGGTGAGAAACAATTACATTAGTTGGCAGGTCAGAGTTCAACATGAAACTCCATGAAACATTTCGTATGCATGAAGTTGGTGAACGCTTGTAATACTTGGTTGCTCTTTTGAAAGTTTTATTTTGCAGATTCTCAAAACATTTCCAAAATCAATTTATTAAGTCAGTTCATTTTGATTGTTTATTTTTTGTTTATCCGTTATTTTTCCATCTTAACGCAGAATTTGGGAGAACAGCAAATAGTTTTAAATATTTAACATTCAATAAACTGGACATTTAAAAAAACAAAATTTTTAATTAAAAGAAATATCCCAGATAGCAATTTTCTTTTTCAGCTCGTTTTAATTTTTGCGTGCGTGCTTCAAGCTGCAAATATAAAAAACATGAAAAATTGACAGGCCTCGCAATCTTCAGTCATTCTATTTTAATTTTTCGCTGACAGCTTTTTCAAATTTGTAATTCCGTCATCATCATCCGTTATCAACATCGACATTTTTATGCCAAATTCAACTTATGAGAATCCTATATTTTTATTTATTTTAAAGTTTATTGCAATGTTTAGCCCTGAATAACAACTGCATTTACTTTTTCAAGTTTTTATTTGTAAAAAATATTAAAAGGCAAAAAACTGTTTCTGTTATTTTTGAACAAAAGCTCAACGATTGAAAGTTGTATTGTATTTGTTATGATGAGATTATGTATTTGCCCAAATGTGCTGCATATTTTCAATGGCATCATACAAAAAATTTATGTAACATGTTTACATTGCAACATTTAACACCCAGCAACCTAGCGCACAAATTAAGTTGCAAACGTCAAGAGATATGTAAAATCTAAATATCTCTAATTTCTACGACCAGCGGAAAGTAAGCCTAATGATGATCGTCAACAGCAGTTCCAAGCCATAAATATGCAACACTGAATCGCAGTCATCTTCACCTCCAGTTAACAATCCGTCCCGTCACAATTGCTACCCAACAATTTAATGGTACACCACCACCAGCACACAGGAGCAACCACCTTCATACAGGCCACAACATCCTGCGATAACAAATGTCCAATTTGAACAAACGTTGTTAACCGCCTCCGGCTCCCGATTCTGAAATCATTTTTATACTTTCATTATAACTCTTCAGAAAGTACCAGATACTCTACACAAGCCGTTTTTGCAAATTTTATTTAAAATTAGTAAAGTGTAACTTCTTCTTTGTTGATATAATAAGTAAACGTAATATATTATATTATATTATTATTATAAGGCCTGGGCACTAGTCCTTTGCCCCAACTAAAAAAAATATAATAGTATGGAAAGAACGATTTCAAAATGAAACAACTAGGATAAAATATTAAGATAAAAATTATTTTTCAATTTTTCACCGATGCAAAATAACTATACAATACCTATCTAAAAACATATCTATATTAACGTTTAATAAATACTAAAAAATAGTGATTAATTTTATGTAGTTCTGTTTTGAACTGGAACCACTAACTTTAACACTTTACCATTTACAGATTTAGTGATTTATTTGATGAATTGCTATGAAAAATGTCTGAATTCATTAATTAACCTTCAATTTCCGTTGAGCGCATTTTCGAAACACATTTATATTGGTCAAAATAAGTCAAATTGAACAGATTACAAATGTGTTTTTGCTTGAAATCAATGGAAATTCATCAAATCGTATTCTCAACTTGATACTAACGATGGTATTACAAATAATTAACAATAAAGATAAAATATAAAAAGTACGGACAATCACTGAACACTTGCAGAAAATTCCAGAATGTTGCAATAAATCGCCACATTTTCGTTGATTAGCAGACTGTACCTTTTAAAGGTAGGTCACCACTGAAGCAGTACATTCTATACACTCACACAAGTGGCTAGTGGTGTAAGTACAAACTGTTTTTGCTAGCAGATATTAGTGGTCTTACACATTACATTGCCGTATAAAAAGTGAGATTGAACTCTAACCATATTTCAAACACCTTGGTACATCGGCTAACATATTGTTCATGAGTCAGCAAAAATTCTGCGCCATTCAATAAGCCATTTAGTATTTTAAGCTGGTTTGCTAACCAGCCTCTAATAACTGAGCTTAATAATTATTGCAAATATTCATTATAAACATGAACAATGCAGTTAAATTGCATCAACCACAAAAAACGATTAGTGATAAAACATTATAATGAGAAAAAGTTGTGGGTCAGATAAAAAGGATGCACCAATGGGATAACTTTTAGGGTTTTAAAATTGTTTGACAACCATTCTGTTATAATAGGAACCAAATTTACAACGTCAAAACTAGCTAAAGATGTTTGAAAGTGGAATCGGAAAGAAAAAAAGAAAATAAATGTTACATGCCCAGACGCAATAAATAAATACAACAAATTCCTGTATGGAATCGATACACTCAATTCATTAAACTCATATTATCAAGTTTTTTCAAATAAAAAAATACTGTCTGTTTTTTTATGTTACTGACATTGCCAACGTCTCCTCACGGCTGCTGTACTTATTACGAATTCCACAGATGCCAATGATAGCCTTCAGCGCCAGTTTTGAAGGTCTTTGTAAGCTTAAAACATGTATCAAGCAAAAAAATGGAAGGCTGCCATTTAAATGGAGTATTAAATTCAAACCTCGCGACGTCGTAGGTCTTGAAGCAGTTCATGCAAAAAGCACTGATGGCATCTGCCTGAAAGGCAGCGTTTTAAAATGCCGAATTGCAGAGAAGTTTCCCAAGTACAATGCTCAACATGCAAAGTACATTTATGCTTGAGACAAAATGCTAACTGCTTCACAAGTTTTCTGAGTGCATGAAGTTGTAAAATCTAAAAACTAGCTCATAGTGTGTTAAATATATAATAGGAATCAAATTGTTGTGACTAAATTATAATACATGCAGTTTTGAGATTATAATAGTTGTTGAAAACAAAACAAGAAACTATTCAGAGAAATGAAAAACAAAGGAAATTGTTGAATGACAAATGAAGTAACAAAAAACGTAATCACAACGAATAATAAAGCAGTGTTTGTCTACCCAATCTAAGATTTTAGTAGAGAACGAATTTGTGTCTCGCACTTTTGGCCGAAACAGAAACTGTTCAATAACATTAAAATTATGGAACAGTTAACATGCTATAGAACTTTTTTTAACTTTAACTTTTAGTTATGATGCGATATTACAAAATCAAATGGCAAGTTTTTTCATGAAAGGAATTTTTAAACAATAAATAACAAATCAAGATTAATAATAGAGAAATGAACCTGAAAATGAAGTGATGTTGAAGCTGGTTTCAATTTATTGATTTTACTAAAAAATTAATACAAAGTAAGATGTAAGTTTACGAAACATTACAAACTTTATAAAAAAAAATTAGCAATAAATAAAACAGATGAAATAAACGCGCCATGTAGAAAATAAAAGTAGAAAACGACGCTCCTTGAATGAGCACATACTGACCATAGAACCTTTTGCATATTCATGCATTGCCTATATCTGCATAAACTTTTTACACGTGCGTAAATATTTATTTTTGTACGAACTGTTTTGACGTGAAGTAAATTTCTCTGAAATATCGGTAAATTTCTGTTTTCAACAAAATGCATTTTATAAAATTAATGTTTATAAGTTAACAAGTTATTTTATTTTTGGAAATATTGAACGTGCAATTATAAGTTCAACAAATTGAATTTAAACAAATAAAAAATATTATGATCAACACAATAAAGAAGATAAGTGTAGCGGTTTATTTTTAATAACTCACAATTATTTAAGTAAGCCCGGGAGCGTTGGCAGGGCCAAAATCAAAACACTACACGAAATGTACAATTCCCTACCTCAGTGAAGTTAACGGATTCAACCAACCATTAAGCACTTTATAATGCCCATAAAAAAATTTTGTTATGGATTTATACATTAAAAACTCAATCGCTAATATAGTTACTTGCAAATATTTAACGAGAACAATTCCTGCCGACTTAGCAGCGAGGTAAATGAAAGGTTGGATTCCTTACACAGCATACTGTAAGCGTAATTATTGTTGTTTCTGACCGAGAATGTTTTAGTGAATTTGTAATTTACTTTTTCTTAGATTCTCAATGCTGTGGTAAGGGATCTGTAATGAATATGTTGGGAGAAGACTGCAAAAAAGGCTTCTTTTCAAATCTTTAAACATCATAGTTTAATTTTAATAACCATAACCTGAATTTAGCTCTTCCAAACAGAATCTAGTGTCTGTGACTGGTTTGATTGTTCAAGTTTTCTTCCATGCTTCAGGTCAGTAGCGTTTGTCTGATTTGGACTTGTTGGTCGTAAAAACGAGTTAGTCAAAACAATTAACTTGATGCCATTGAGAACTTTAAAAGTGCAACAACACAAAAAAATGCTTCTGAACATTTGTGAATCTAGACAACTTTGACAGAGGGGGCTACAACTTTGAAAATGTTCAAATTTTTACGGGAGGCCATAATTTTCACGGCGAAGCCAAAATTTTTGGTAGTGTAGCTAAAGACCATTTATTTGCTTATCACGCCCAATTTTGGGTTAATTTTCTACCGAAAACAGTCCTTTTTCTGACTTTTATTAAAAAACTGCTTTTCTAGATCCGCCACTGCTTTTATTTAGATATACGACTGTCGCTACTGAATGCTCCTTCCTTAAATTTGTTTTACATTTCTCGTGTGTTTTCCGTTGTTTACTGGTGACTATTTTTAGACAAAAATAGATTATGTACATTTTTGAAAATTAAGACGAAGGTGCCGACATGCTTTGCAGTCTTTGACGACAGTACCATCGGCGAGCCACTTATGTCAATAATTTTTTGATTGTTATTTTCATAAATAATCTGTAAACTGTTCCAGTTGAATTTTTAAGGCAAATGTTATTAAGGAGTTTATTAAAAGAGAAAGAAAGCATAAAGTAGTCTTCGGCATTGCGGACACTTTTATTTCATCACGTGATAACTTTCAAAATTAAGGGAAGTTTGTTGGAAGAGAAGATGAAAAGTTTTGGAGGGTAGGGGGTGAGGTGGGTGGACACAGCACTTAAGCGTCGCATAATAAATCGGTTAAGCCATGAATACTCAACAACGGAGCGATTTAAACTTAAAGTTTACGACTAATATCACATAGCGGTAAAATTTAAGAAAAAAATTTAGCGAAATTTCTGCGATTTTTTCAAACCATTGGTATTTGGAGGATAAGATTTCCAAAAAGATATTAATTTTCTACAGTTAAAACACATTTAGATATCCCAACAAAATAGAAATAATTACAAAAAACGTGCGTATCCAATGCTGAAGATTTTAAAAACCATCATCGCCGGTCTTCCACTTTGTATCTGCATGCTATTTAAAGTAAATTTGATGCACGAGACAGAGAGTTACACGGAAACAATTCTATGTGCAAAACGATTTATTACCGATAATTTAACAGTGATGATCCGCCGCTGATAGCAATGCATGCAAATTAATTTCAATGAATGAAACGACAAAGTGTTAATATCAAATTTTAATTCGCATTGGTCATCTTCCATTCAAGAAATTAGTACAATTATAACGGGGTTATGTTGCGTTTACCTTCAAATAACTGACGAGACTAAATGGAAATACAAGTCAATGTTGGATGTTTCTAAAATAGAAGAAATGAACGGAATATATGGCATTTTTCACGCACAAATGAAATCAACAGGAATCATCTGATGTTATATAATACAATCGTTCTTTGGATTAGCATATTATATATAAATTAAAAAAACTGATACTTAATAATTAGATAAACTACATTGTCTGAACCACTTTAAGATTTGAGATGATTGATCAATGAACAAATTTAAAATTATAATCAAGGTTATAAACAATTGATTGTAATTAAACTACAAAAACGTTTAGAATCATAAAAAAAATAAATGATCGAATGAATGAAAGAGTGAATGAATAGACAATCAATCAAAAAACGAACAAATGATGAACACACGACAATACTGATCACGTAAGTAACTTGATACAATTTTTTCAATTATTACAAAAACTTCTTTGAACGTCATCATCGAATATTCTGGTGCCAAAGTTAAAATAAATGTAATGAACAACCAAAAAATCTGAAAAAAATGAAACATTTGGGTCCAGCTTTAATACGTTAATATAAACAATAACGTGCGTTTGTTGTACAATTATGTTGCATTTTTATATTATATTATTATATATATATATATTCTATCATGCTTAAAATAAATAAAATTTTGGTTTTGAACTCAAGAAACTTGACGATGAAATGATTTACGATCTACCGTTAGAAAAATCGAAAAACTAAACAGGAAGCATGCTGTGATTTTCATCAATAATTGCATTTCTTACAGTCTTAATTCAATATACATATATAAGGAAAGTTATATATTAATATAATATATATACATATATTATATATAATATACACATATATTGGAAAACCATATTTTATACAGTATTGTATAAATTCTACCGAATTGTTGGCATTAATCAGTTTAAAGTTTGTTCTTTCAACTTTCCTTACTAAAATTTTCTGGAAATTGTTCAATTTATTGAAAATAAAAATATTATCCAAGTTCGTCATGGAAATGTAATGAAACTGTTGTTATCCAAATTCATCATGCAGATTGGCCTTATTTCGATTTTTCACAAATCATCTTCAGTGCAGGTTTGGTTTAAATATATTATATATATATCATATATATATTTAATTACTTATGTGTAGACAGAATGAATAAATTCAACATAACATTAAAGATAATTTATTAGCGAACATTATGTTAGCTGCGTCAGTCCGAGCATCGTTCACACGTGAGCAGCTCATCAAATGTTCGCCTCATAACAAAATTTATATATTAAATATGAAAACTTTAAAAAAAGAGCCTGAACATTTAATTCAAATTCGTTATTTTGTTTTTCAAAATCAGCGAAAAATAAAATAAAATATGAAACCAAAATAATAAAAAATTTGCACATATGGTCGATCATCAACGAAACTGTCATATATTAATAACAATACATAAAGATCATATCAGATTGAAATACAAACATTCATGGACGTATCAAAAGTAAAATGTGAGAAACATGATGAGTTTATTTATTTATAAATCTTTCGTATTGTCAGTTAACAAAACACTGATAAAATAGATGAAAATTTCAAAAAAAAAAACTCCCTAGAGAAGTTGAAATGAAGATTCAGCCCATGCTCACTGCGGATAACATAGCAGCACTGATTGGCACGCAACACCACACAACAACGTTACCTCAACTCAGACTGCTTCCTTAAATTACAGAGATATAGAGATGATCAGTGGAATAGACTTAATCACTTGGTGTGGGTGGATGTGTTGTAAAACAATGGAAACACGATTATTTCAACAGTTCGTTCGGGCAATAATTAATAGTATTATGTATTATTATCATTCGAACATCATCATCATCATCATTCAATCATTATCATCATCATCATTCAATCATTATCATCATCATCATCATTCAATCATTATCATCATCATCATTCAATCATCATCATCATTCAATTCTCATGAGAGCAATAAAATGAATAACTTGTCAAAACCCTTTTAGAAGTGATGTCAAGAAACTGAACACAAATGAAATAAAAACATTCATACAAAAAAATTTGAACATCATACAATCTATGCAATTTCAATTTGATACAAACTATGCTGATTGGAGGCTTGAGATATTTCTTCTTCACTTCTTCAAACACATTTAATCAAAAAAAAAACTTCAAAATTATTCACCAAAAATTCAAAAATATTTGCCAAAAGCAACTGATGACTGACTATATCTCTAACGTTCAAGTTTGAAAAAATTACAAATTTGAAAAACTTACAAAACCGTGTAAAAAACAAACAAACAAAAATACAAAAGAATATCAGAGAGGGCTCCGTTTGAAATATGAGGACTGCGATGATGATGATGATGTTGACGATGATGAGAACGACGATGATGATGGTGGTGGTGGTGATGATGTTACTCTGGCAATGCTGTGTCGTCGGTCTGTTGACAAACTTTGAGTGAGATGATGATGCGGTGACGAAGGGAATGACGATGACGATGACGTCATCACTCTGTTGGGGCCTCCCTTCGCTGATGCTGATATTGATGTCCGCGATGACAGAGAAGATGACGATGGTGACGATTTTAATGAGGTTAACAAATTTCGGAAACTGAAAAGTGAATAAATAAAAAAAGTGAATCGATTTAAAAAAAAAAATGAATATAACTAGATGAAAAATTAAACAAAATTAATTAAAAACAGCAAAAAGGTAAACTTAAAACTGTAAACTAAAAAAAAACAATGAATTTTAAATGCTTGTCAAAGAAAATAAACAATTAAAAATAAAAAGTCGCGAAGAACTATGGAGCCAGAAAATACTGATGTGTATAATGGATATAACATGAAGCATGTCTTAAGTCGCTGAACATTTATCAGTTAGGATGAATTGATATTCTTATTCGCCTTATTTGGGGTTATCATCATCACAGATACTTTTGCCATTGGACAGGTTGTTGCTATTATTAATACTATTATTATTGTTGTCGTTGCTGTTGTTTTTGTTGTTGTTATGTTCCTTTCTTTGTTCGAGAATGGTAATGAAGTGAGTGAACCTTAAAGATAGCAGAGAGAAGAATTAATTGGTTGACGGCAATAATTGTCATCCAACCAATCAGAAGATCATGCAAAACGTCCAGTATATGATTGAGTACAGTACAATGTTAAATTTGCATATTGAAATAAAATGGAATGTTTAAAGAAACCTGTATCACAAACAAATGAATGGTCATTGAATGGCCAGTGGGTGGTCAATGATGGTCAGTGAACGGTCAGTGAATGGTCCGTTGGTAGTCAGTGAATAGTCAGTGGTTGGTCAGTAAATGGTTAGCGGGTTGCCAGTAAATAGTCAGTGAATGGTCAGTGGATGGTCACTTACAATCTCCTTATGCCGGACTGCTTCTTGAACCTCTCTGGGAACAACTTCTCATCAGGCTCCCTGTTGATTGGACCCTGCACTGGAGCATCGTCATCATGACCATCGTCGTCGTCGTTGGTGGTGGTGGTAGATGTGTCGTTGTTTTCGTTTGATCTTTTTGTTGTCGTTAGTTGTTGTCACATTAATCAATTAAATAATAACTTTACAGCAACGACAATGAACAAGAGATATAACAAAACGCACCAACAAACTACACACAAATGTTTGACAAATTTTGAAAACATGTAGAAAATTATAAAAATATTTATATGACGTAGAGACGTGCATGTAGAAATGTGAAGATGACGTAGCAATGAGCCGACCAACCTCTGAAGTTTGAGGAGGTGAAGTTCTTCTTGGAGGGCGTGCACCTTAATTATCAGGTCGTCTCTCTCTCTCACCACTGACTCATACTCAAATACACTCATCCTCTCCAACTGTCAGCATAAAAAATTTCATAAAATCTTCATCAATAACACTGAACAAAAAAAAACTTTTTTGCGGATATCTTGGCACACAGTAATCTATCAAAGTAAATTTAAACATGCTGATTTCAAATATTCAAACCGTTTTTTTCTATCAGGTCCGTTTTGGAAATAACTCAAATTTTGAATTTTGAATTTTACACATAATAGATTTATTATTCACGCAAAACTTTTATTCAAATGATATTTTAACATGAGTTTTTAATATAAACCTGAACATGGCTTTGAATACTAAAATAATAATACTTATATGATAATAGAAATTTAATTCTAAGTCTAATTTATGTAAAAGTTTGTTAAACTTGTTTATGGTGTAAATTTCTAGGCTGTGGACATTCTCTTGTATTGATGAATTGACAAATCATGTGGAAGGATCCAACGACAGTCTACCAACATTGCTGCCCTCCATCAATTTGATAGCGTGACTCCACCAAAATGCCTTGGTGGAAGCGCTCGCCATGTTCGTCACTTATCGCACCTAGATTTTCTGGGAAGAAGTCTAGATGGAAATGGAGCGAATGAATTTTCAGAGACAAATTATACCCAAGATCTTTGCAGGCACTAATGCATTTTTTTACAATATCCACTAAGTTGGCACTTTTCTTATTTCTAAGAAAATTAAATACAACTGCCTCTTTTATTTGGACTAAGCAAAATCTTCAGTGTTCATCAGCTATCATTTCTCTTATTTGTGGGCCGATGAATACACCCTCTTTTACCTTGGCATAACTAAATCCTGGAAACATGTTGTGCAAGTACTGAAATGCATCTCTAATTTTTTGACAAAATTTTTCATAAACCCAACTTTATATGAAGTGGTGGCATAAGAAATTGTCAAGGTCAACCAACGGTGGATGTTGAACATTTTTATGAGCAGAATAGCCGACTGGTATAGATGCATATGTTTCCATTATGCAACGATACTGCCTTCAATTTTAACAAGTCTTTGACAAGTCGATGAACAGTCGCCATTCTTTAACAATATGTTTACCTCCCAGATGCGACATAAGGCCATCCACATCTGTGCAGAAGCAAATACTATCGCTCATTTTAAAGTACTGAACAAGAATTTTATGCCTGCGACGAAATTCACTGTTGCTGTATTCGGACCAAGGAAGTTAAACTCCTTCAAACGTGAACCAAGCAGCTCTGCTTGGGCTTTTGTTAGTGACCTCTTACAAGATCACAAAGTTCAGCATAGTTAATCAAATGATGTTCATCTGTGGCACCATTGTCTGAATCACCGGCAGAAAACGAAACATCACTTCTTTCATGCATATCTTCCTCAATGGTGAAGGTGGCAGGCAATTTGCGGTATTGGACAAGCTACAGGTTATGTGCAATTGATTTTGAAGCAGACGGAACGTCTGGATATCCAACAGATAAACGAATTTTGTATTTAATTCTGCTAACCATTTCCAAACAGAAATAACAATCTGTTAAGTGATTGCTTTGTTCACGCCATACCATAGGTACTCCAAATGCTATGCGATTGTTTCTCTTTGCATTCCTGACCCAACCACGCAGGCTGCATGAACACATCAAACAAATGAACTTTCGTGTCCAAGACTTACCACTATCTACCTTTGAATCTAAACACAATTCGTATGCTTTTTTTAGTAACGGCGTGAAATCTTCCGATGAGAGTTGTCTGTCACAAGACCGCACACATAGCAAAACCGATCAGGTGAATTTGCACATCCTCTGGTCGCCATATTTTTAAAAAAATAACCAGAATATCTAATCCAAGTTATATATTGCAGTTCACAAACTTATCTGCACACTGATTTGAATTAGCATGGGTTATAAAATATGACGTCATCAAATCAGACATCATCTCTTAAAAAATAATTCATCTGATAATACAAAACTCACGTATTACAAATAAATTGTTACACATTCTTATATATTATATATACATATTAATAGAAAATTCTTAAGTAATTTATATAAACATATATAGGGATTATAAAAATACACTCATGACGATAAATAAAATTTAATAAAATGATCATGTACTAGTCAACAGTCTTCTTCTTCAAGCAAACTTAATTTTACAATATCTCAACAATTTGACATGATAGAGCAAAACGGTTTTCAAATTTGAAATCATCATAAAATTCTGTTTATGAAACAATCAATGACATTTAAGATATCTACAACTTGTTTTTTTAGTGTAATTCCATAAAGGACAGGACAAAACATTAGAAGACATTCAGAAAACTTCAATAAAGCTCAGACATGCAATAATTTGATGCTAGCAAGTAATGCTCATGAACACAAACTTCAGCTTGTTGTTCACTGTTCCAACCGACAGATTCCTCAAGTCTCTTCATTTTCTCCTGTAACATCTTCACGAACCTGTCCCGCTCGTTCAGCTGCGACAAGAGAAGAGACTTTTCGAAGATGGTGTTCTGTGCTATCTTCTCCATCTGTGATGTCTTGCGGTTGCAATCACTGTTCTGACGAAACAGATGTCTCACCTTTGACTCCAACTTTCAGGAACATTTAAAACATGAACAATATTGTTTGGAAACATTTTAGAAAAAATTTGTTCAAAAACATCAGAATACAAAAAATGAAATATAATTTGAATTAAAACTTGTACCATTTCAGCATTGCTTGTCTGTTCGTCCAAATTTTTATCCAAGTTTTTTAATTCATCACGCTGCTTCTGAATTATCAGTTTCAAATTCTCAATTTCTCCTTGCAACTCTGCTTGCTCATCAACCACTGAAGTGAATTTTATTTTAAAAGTTTTAAGCAACAGCAGCAGACATTCTCAGCCCATTTCGTCATTTAAACACAAGAACATTTGAAAGTCAAATTTGTTTTGTTTTAAATCTGTAACCATATTAGACATTTAATGGCTTGAAGACCTCTTCTCAAAAATTGTTCAAAAAAAATCTTATAATATTTTCAAAAAACAACCAATTACATTATTAACACAAAAACTCAACCAACACTCAATATGTAAAGACTCGTTGATTTTATTTTGAACAATAATAGAATTCAGTCTCTGGTTTTCTTCTTGCAACTTGTTGATAAGATCCTGCTGATTCTGTGCATCTTTTTTCCATCTTTCCTCAATTTGTTCTAGCTCCTATAAGATGTTTATAAGCAATAATTATTTATATTGTTATTTTCAAATTTTTAAACAAATCAAAATTTAAAATTCAAGTTTTTAAAAGTTTAAACTTAAAAAAAATTAGGTATAAAACCATTTCATATTTCAATTTTTCTTCAGCTTTCAATTTTTTTTCCATTTGCAGACGTTCAACTGTAAACTTTAATTCAGAAACTTCTGCATTTTCACATTCCAGCCTGGCAGTCATTTCTTCAAGACATTCGAGAGCCCTGATAACTGGTGGCATGAGTTCGATGACGTAGTCCATTCCAGACTTGTCTATCATTTTCTCAAACTGGTTACCAATTTTGGCTGCCATTTCGTAGACATCCACGGTGGTCAGGTTGGTCACTGAGGCCATAGAACCATCCGGCCTCAGAATAAAAGTCAGATTGAAACTAAGAAGTTTTTAATAATTTAATAATTTAATTTAACTTTTATTTAAATTTTAACATTTTATTTTTAAACTTGGCAACTTGACTTGATGCTTTTATTTCATAAGTTGCTAAGAATATGACAATTTGAGTTTTTATCAAATTTATACAAAATACACACAAACAAAATATAAATAAAATACTAACTAATAAATAACTGATTACTGAACTAAACTGAAGTTTAAAAAATTAAAATTTATTTTATTTTTATCTTTGATAAGCATATGGTTATCAATATGATTATCATTATGATTATCATTATCATTATAATCATTGCAACTCAACTTACCTTCTTTTTTTACTTTAAGTTTCAATTTAATATACTTTCAGCATTAAATTTGACACGCTGATTTTAAATTTTTGCTAGAAATAAAAAACTACTTTATCAAATTTTAAAAAGTAAAAATTAAATAAAATAATCCCAAAAAAATAAAATAACAAATTAAGTAAATCACATCGCCAGCATTGGTCATACGGAGATTTTTTTCTAAACATAAACATAAACAAATGTCTGGAAATGGACGGGTTCCCGTATAATTATATAAATATTATTTTATTTATTTTATTTTAATTGTTATTTTAAATATTCTTAGACATATACCATATTATATATAAAATATATAGTTTGGTTGCACACAGTTGTACTTTTCACTAAACTTTCTTACACATCAGCACATCCCAAATTCCTACAACGTTAGACTCAGTGTACCTTTGGTGGGCCAGACTTTCCATGAAGACAGTAACAACGTTACTTATCTTGACAAAAAAACTGCATGTAAACGAAGGCACGGTACGTCTACAACCACTTGCAAAGTTTGATATCGTATATGGTGATCGTGAGAGAACTTCAGTTGCTAATGATGGAAGAGCTTGTAAAGCTTGTTGATGAAAGTGGAAGTTTTTTGATAAAAGCGATCGGGAGAAAGAGTTGGGTCGTTTACGACGACAGCAGATAATTTCAAATGAATCTAAAGTTGTGACAATTATAAAAAATCAAAAATTTGGAAAACGTTATTATTTTACGCCTAACAATTAAATTGATAATAATAATTGAATAAATAAAAATTACTATTGTTACAGGTGGTACATGCAAAGTGGGGTGATAGTTTCATGTACATACAATATGTTACTTAACATTCGTGCTACTTAAAATAAAACTCAGGATATACTATAATAATTGTAAGACATCACAATTGGTCTTTAAGAACAATTGAGCTCCTAAGATGATTCTACTTTAAAGAGTAATCATGTAATATATGAATTTAAATGCCCTATTGACCAATGTGCGAGTCGACAACATTTGTATATTGGTGTTACGACCACTTCACCATCAAGACGTCTCAAAGCATACACAAAGAAGAGTCATCAAATCTCACTTGCAATCAACACATGCAACACCAATAACCTGCCAAATTCTTGACAACAACACAAAAATAATTTTTCAAAATACCAACACAATACATTTAAAAATTGCAGAAACTGCCCTAATCACATAACTAGAATAAGCCCTAATATATATCATAAAAACCCCAAATAAACATCTAACAAAGAATGATAACATCATTACCAACTCGACGCTTTAATACTTACTTCAATAACAATTAAGAACAAAGGAATGATAACAACAAAAATGAAGAATACGACACTAACTAATAAACTTTTCTAAAGAACTTTGCTTTATTTAAAGAAACTATATAAACAAAATTTGCATCAATCCCATCCATCATTCCCAATTCTCGTCAAGTGACTCATCCCTACTCTTGAAATCCCCGTTATCGAAAATCTTAACTTGCCAATTTCATGGAAATGTCTATTCTAGTTTTCTACTGTGTAATATGTTCAATTGCAACTGACATATGCTCAAGGCGCAACAACAAAGACGCATGTTAAATCAACGCGCCACCACAATGCCTCCTGACGTGGCACTCCACACTCTGCTGAACCAAGTTTCAGTAAACAGCTTCACTTCAAGGTATTATTAATTCAAGCATTTCTAAATAAAATGGTTACGTTCAACAATTCCTTACAAATATTACATTTCGGTTTTCAAATGAAAATGTTTTTCACATAAATATTTTATTTTACCAAAAGTATTAAGATTAAAAATAATTGTTACAAAATATTACCAAAGATATGCCAATCGTCATTGTACAAAATATAAAAATTAATTTATAATGAAAATAATTGTTTCAAAAAAAGGGCAATAAACGTTCATTCAAGTTGCAAACGAATTTCACGAGCACGCTTTTGAAAAAAATCAAAATTAAGCAAATTTTATAATTCAAAGTTGAAAAACTTTTTAAACAAATTTAGCCTTAAAAAAAGTTATGTAAGTAGAAATCTCAGACTGAATTTTTCTTCAATAGGTATATGCTGGACCATTTGAACGAACTCCTCGTAGCTGACCATGCCGTCTTCGTCCTCGTCCACTTCCAGGATTGCCCTCTCTACGATGCTGCACAGCTGCAATTTTTCGGAAATAATTAAGAAAACATTAATCATAACAAAAAAAATTATGTTATAATTACTAACGCAAATTCTCTCTCTCTCTCTCTTTCTCTCTTTTATTTATTGCCATTTAACCATGTAGATAGTTATAGTTTGAAATTTTATTTGTCACATGTATTGTTGAATATTACAATTCATTTTAAGTTTAACAGTAAAAAAACCTCGCTTCATCACCAGATATAGGTGTATTTATGTTTCTTTTAATTAATTTTTCGTTTCAATTTTATCATGCCATTGCTGCTCCAAGCCACGAAACTGCCGTCAACCAATTTGGGTAGTTTTAAATGCGCCTCAACAAATGAAAATTGTGAATTAAAACAGCTGCGTGCAGTCCAAAACGTACTCAAAAACTTTTTAGACACAAAATGGCGCATAATATTCGACAACACGCACACACCCACACACACACAGACATATATAAATATATATATATATATATATATATATAAATATATATACATATATATATACATATATATCACACACACAGACGTATATAAATATATATATACATATGTGTGTGTATTTGTGTGTGTGTGTGCGTGTGTGTGCGTGTGTGTATACAATTACAAATACATGTTTTTATTTAAGTTTTGATTCATTTTCACGATGTAATTCATGAATAATTTCTCCACGGATGACATAAAAATTTGAAAGAGTCAAAAATATTGAAAGAGTTGGAGTATCAGCAACCTCCTCCTCGCTTATGTTCACGTGGATCATCGACTTGACAGCATCGAACAGTTCGAATCTGGAGATCTTGCCATCCTTGTCCACATCCAACATCCTGAACATCACTGCATAATTTTAAAGTTATTCGCTACAATCCACTTGTTAAATAATTTCTATAATATGTGATATGGTTTTGAAAATTAAATTAACTGATCAGATGACTGATTGAATGGATGAAAAAAGAATTTTGATTGATTGATTGGTTTCTTGATTGGTTTCTTGATTGGTTGGTTGATTGATTGGTTGGTTGGTTGATTGATTGGTTGGTTGGTTGGTTGGTTGGTTGATTGGTTGATTGATTGATTGTTTGGTTGGTTGGTTGTTGGTTGATTGGTTGGTTGATTGATTGAATGATTGATTGATTGATTGATTGATTGATTGATTGATTGATTGATTGATTGATTGATTGATTGATTGATTGATTGATTGATTGATTGATTGATTGATTGATTGATTGATTGATTGATTGATTGATTGATTGATTGATTGATTGATTGATTGATTGATTGATTGATTGATTGATTGATTGATTGATTGATTGATTGATTGATTGATTGATTGATTGATTGATTGATTGATTGATTGATTGATTGAGATTGAACCTTTTGTTTTGGACTCTCTGCTGTTGGGTTGATCCGGCGGAGTTTTGTTTTCGACGGCAGGTCTGAATGCAGCCAAAGTTTTCAAAAACTTGGGAAAAGTTACGCCTGTCAGCGTTTCGTTGCTGTTGAATTTAGTAACGTTTAACGTGATTTTTAAATTTGGTTACAAGTATTGATTAAATTGTAAACACGTTCAAATACCAATAGATTTCTTATTTAAAAATTGTAACGATAAAGTTTTTTTCATTTCCATAGACGAATATCAATTAATTAATTAATCATGCTTACTTCTCCTCAAAAAATAACTGCAGTATCCGGTCCCGAAATGGATTTTTGTGGAAGTGTCCCACTTTGAGAAAATCTTCTTGCCTGCGGAATAAAATTAATTAATTTTCAAAAATTTGTAAGCATTTTGTGAAAAATCCAAAAGCATTAGATAAAAGTTTATCCGTCTAGCAATCTTAAAATAGCAATTTATTTGTTAAACATCTTAATTAAAAAATTAACAACGATGAGTGTAAACACGAACGACTCACTCGAGACAGCCAGCAGATCTTCGGTCGAGAATTTTGAACCGCAAGTACAACCTTAGAACCAGTGCTTTCGAAACTGAATCAGGTTCGCATGTTATTTATTTTCAGTCTTTAATTGAACGAATCAGAACTTGTGCTTATTGCAATTTGCAGCAGAAAGAATGATAACATGACACAGAATTATAGAGCATAACATTTTAATGCAAAAACTGACAAATGTTTTTTTGGTGCACTTTAATTTTAGTTGTAAAAAAATATATATTTTAAAATTAAAAACTGTCAAAATATTTTTAAACTGATGGTAATATTTAATAACAGAAAAAAGTTGTAGGATATTTAAAATATTCAAATTACACGTAAAAAACCATTTAATTTTGAGCAATTGAAATCTGTCGCGATTAAAAATTTAATAAAAATTAAAAAAGTTCTCGAGGAATTTAAAAAAATGAGCTTACACCCTGTCTCCTTGCAAATGTTGGACATCTCCTCGCTGGACAGAGGCATCGAGCTCGATAGTCCCATGTTTGTGGTTGTAATGTCACACGGTCGTTGTGACGATGAGATTGATTTTGTGTGTTTGTTGTGTTGTGTTTGTTGTTGTATATGTCGTTGTGTTTGTTGTTGGGTTGTGTGTTTGTTGTTGTTGTGTTATGTGTTTGTTATTGTGTTGTGCTTGTTGTTGTGTTATATTTTGATGATGTTTGATAAATTGCTCGCATTTACAAACAAACCGTTCAGTAAAATAGATAAAGTTTACGTTGAAAGCGAATTTACACAGTCAAGGTGAATGAAGTATATATAGAAAGAAAGGAACATCAAGCAACATACATCATGCATACAGACTTGATTATATATACACACACAACAAAACGCATTGGCTCAGCGTCCAAAATGCACATGATGGGATGAATATTATAAAATGCATAATTAGATGTTTTACAATACAGATATAATAGTTATTAAATCATCTAAAATAGCATAACAGCATAAAATCGAGTGATTTGGTTAAATGTAAACATTGTATAATTAAATTAATTAATTAAATTAATTAATTAATCAAGGTACGGCAGATTGCTCGCTTCATTCATCACACCTTCCATGTCGGTGCGTGTGGGGTGTCGTCCTGTCCTGCGCTGCGTGTACGTGCAATGTACGCTTGTCTCTGCGTGCCTATGTGATTGTGTCGGAATTGTGTATTCTCCTGTGTGTGTGTGTGTGTGTGTGTGTGTGTGTGTGTGTATAAATGTGTATCTGGTGGTATACATCTGCGTGAATGCATTTATATATGTGCTGTGTGCTTGTGTATACACTTCGACTGGGCTGGGTATGAGCGTGATGTAGAAATATTTTATTTGTTTAATAACATTTTCATTTCTACATGCGGACCTTTTTTTATGGAAATTCTGTGATTAGCTAAAATTGCCGCAAACTGAACCAAAGCCATCAACAAGCTTATTAAACTTTGTGAGGCATACAAAACAAACACGTATCAGGTTTGTTATTGCCTTTGTACAAACATATTCATAAGTATACCAATGTATTTGATTGTTCACCTTGGGCACCTAATTTTCAGCTTATTTGAATCCTAACAATTGTCGAAACAAAAAATGTATTCACTACATTTATGGCACCAATTTTATCAACCAGCCTCCGACAATAAAACGATAAAAATAAATTTCCAGAGATTATCTGATTTTAATTCTTTGGAACAAAAGCTGTTGAGTTGAACATAATATATTTAAAAGCAAAAAACTTTTTTCAATGGTAATATTGATAATCAAAATCTAAGTAAACCGGCATTGACCTTCACATTCATTGGCGGATCTAGATTCTAAATATTTTTCAAAATCCTTGTCCCGCCCGTCAAATTTGTCTAGATCCGCCACTGCACACGGCTACTGTACACGTCAATCAGTTTCTGAGAAACCTGTTCATCAGAAAGATTTAAAAACAGGATCTGAATGTTTAATAACAGCTTCATTATGGAAGTTGTGCATTCTTTTATAAAATATTTGTAGTTTTTCTGATGAAATTCAACGAAATAAATATGACGGATGAACTCGGGTTCGCACGCATTCGCATGTCTCAATGCCTCCACATTTGTGTTATTGCATTGCTCTACGTACATGTTCGTGTGTGTGTTATTAATTCATCGCACAATCGTGCATTCCCACTGATGCAAATGTCTTTAATCAATCGTAACAACTCATCTACATTCCCATGAATAACAAACATCGTCCCATCATTTCCATAATCAATTTCAATTCAAACGCTTTAATTA